TTCAAAAATAAAATTATTATTACTTTATTAAAAACACATAAAATCATATTATAGAATATTAAAATCAAAATGTATCTCGTTGCATTACGCCAATACTCTTCTAGTATATATATATATATATATATATAGAGAGAGAGAGAGAGAGAGAATGAATGGGTAGGAAAGTTGAATTAGAAACCAAAAATTGATTAAAAACCATTAAATTATTCATAAAATATTGTTTTTAAGTGTGTGTGTGTGTGTGTAAAAGGTCAATGTTGACGAATAAGTTGAAATGTTCCGAGCAGTATATATATAGAGCCATAAAAAAGAAATGTGGAACAAGTCACAAGCAAACAAAGAACTGGTCTTTACATGCAAATTCGACTCCTACCTCCCATCTTCCTTTTCATTTCATCTTATAATAAATTAATAAACCAAATTCTCATATACAACAATTTAATTTATATAATCAACACATCACATACTTCCTTCCTTACTTAATAAAATATCAACATCAATTAAATACAAAATTCATCTCGTTTCTCAATACTTTGTAAACCAATTAATTGTTGGTTGTTATGTGTGATGCAAAAGAATTGAAGTATTAATTAGGGATGAATGGTTGTGAATGCATGTTGAATCCAGGGTTATAAATGAAAAAGAAGAAATGTTTATGAACTGTGTTTGTTTTAGACTTAAATTATGATATGATCGATGTGGGAAAGTAGTAGTAATTAAAGACCTGACACGTGTTTTCTCATTCTCCTAGCCACATGTCCAAACTCCTTACATATATATATATATATATATATATATATATAAATTAATCCTATCCTCATTTTCATCTTGTGTTTGCTTTCAGTCATTCATTCACCACATTACATTTGTGCATACAAAGTATTGGGAACGTTGATCATATATTAACCACAGACATTGCATTGCATTGCTACTACTATTATTATTGTACTTTTGGCCTCTGCCAGCCACCAGTTTCTCTCTCTCTCTCTCTCTCTCTCTCTGTCTATATATATATATATAACTAATCTCCCTCTGCTTCCTATATCTCTATCTCTGGTTTGTGATATATGGGCATGCATCGATGAATATGAAATCGTTATTAAGTGGAAGAGGAAGCCTTTGTGACCTCTGCCATCATCACCAACCTTCTTTCTACTGTTCTTCCGACTCTGCTTTCCTTTGCTCTGATTGTGATTCTCAAGTTCACTCCGCCAACTTCCTTGTTGCTCGCCACATCCGCCTTTCTCTCTGCAAATCTTCTTCTTCCTCTACTTGTTCATCCTCCTCCTCCTCTAYCACCAAGAGTCATATATATATTAGTAGTACTAGTACAAAGGCAAAGGCTAAGGCTAAGGCTAATAATAAGGCATTAATATCTGACTGGAAGACGAGGGATGTGTTGGTAAATTGGTGTAGAAAGCTGGGGTTAGGGATAGAGGTGATAGAGGTGGCGAAACATGCTTTTGAGGCGTCGTGGGGGTTAGTATGGCCATACCGCCTGGGTTTGGCAGCTTCCCTTTGGTTGGGGGTACTACTACTGTTGAAGGAGGATGAAAATAACGAGATAAGAATGTTGGTGAAGAGACTAGAGGAGATCTCCGGGGTACCAGCTAAGTCAATAATGCTTGCCCAATCAAAACTCTTGAAAATCATGAACCAGCAACATCGTCATCAGGTGGAGGTGGAGGTGGAGGTGGAGGAGGGCTGGGCTGAAAGCTAGCCAGCTTAGTAATACAAGTTTTCAGGAATTAGTTAGGCATGGCTAGTAATAATTTCCTAGCTAGCTACCTGAGCCTGAGGGTGGATTTAATTATTTATAGCCACTATATATATATCGTTATAAAGATTTCTGATTTTTTTATCAATCGTTGGACTTGTATTACGTATTTAATTAATCATATTTTCTCTCTTTTTTTTCAATCTATATATATATCTATCATATCCGATGTTTGATGCATCATAATTAGTTAATTTGTCGTAATAAGCATGTGTTTTAATCAAATAGTTTAACTGTCTTTGGAACCATTAGTTTACTAATTTATTATTATGAGTAAGAAACTCTTATTATATGAATGTAATGCATAATTAACAATACTAATTTATTATTATGAGTAAGAAACTCTTATATGAATGTAATGCATAATTAACAAATACTATTTACAATAATTAAATTATTTTTTCATACATAYATATATATATGTTGATCAAGGATCATTGAAAATTGTTTTATAGAAAATTAAGCATGAGATATTTAATTAAGATTTGTGGTTTAATTATTGTTTGAAGAAAATAATTAAGTATAATTTATTTGGGAAAATTGAAAAAGGAATTCCATGTGTGGGTTAGAATTGAATGATAGTTGGAGTAGGTTTAATTTCACTGAATATTTATATCTATACTATCTTATAAAGCATTTGATTAAAACTCTTAAAGACAACATTTGTTGCTAATGGTACAACCTATTAAAGCCATCCCTAAACCCTTTCATCCATATCCGATTTCATCTCTATCCTATTTCATCGCTAACAGAAACCCAATTCCCTCCCTAAACGATTTCATCYCTATCCGATTTCATCGCCAACAGATTTTGTTATATATCATATTGTATTATAAAAAAGAGAATTYCAGTTGCTAAATATACAAATTTTAATTCATCTTCGCACAAGCTACTCTCCAAGTTATGTGTATATACATACATATACGTTTTTTTAGATATCTTCTTGATACCCGCTTTGAGTTCTTGGATTGTTTGGTAGTTTTGGAAGTCAAGGTTTGATTTGTTGAAGCACTTCTTATTAATACATGTGGTTGATGGTATGTATATGTGGTTTTTTGTGTTAAATTTACTATTTTTGTGTTTGATTGCCATTACGTTTCTTCGTCTTTTATGAACACCAAAGTGTTTGAATTCATATAACATTTTGTTKATAAACATAATCAAATAGAKGATAAACATTTTATTTTAAAATCTAAAAGATYTAAAATATAATTGRGATAATTATCGAATTCTAACAAAATAATTAATTATGATCTTTATAAGAAAATTATATTATTAAACCAAATATAAATTAATTCGTTATTGTACCTAAATTAAATTATAATAAAAAAATTGAATTVAAAAATTACACAAAAAATGAGGAATTTTAAATAGTTAGTTTGATACGAATATCGATATATTTTTGTTATGCATAAAGTACTGTATATTGATGCATATTATTTAAAATTCAAGATTACCAGTAAATTATGCGTAAGTACAACTTATTAAAACTCGATGTTTGAATTCTGATAACTAGCTGCAGATAAACATAATCAAATAGATGATAAACATCTCATTTTAAAATATAAAAAATTTAAAATATAATTAGAATAATTATCGAGTTCTAACAAAATAAATAATTATTATCTTTATAATAAAATTATATTATTAAACCAAATATAAATTACTTCGTTATTGTAGCTAAATTAAATTATAAAAAAATTAAATTATAAAATCATACTAAAAAATCATACAAAAAAATGAAGAATTTTAAATAGTTAATTTGATACTAATATCGATATATTTTTGTTAAATTTTTATGATATATTCAAACTTATATTTTATTCAAAAATAAAAATATCATCGTTTTCTCAAAATAACATAAGACCATATTATAAGATTGACTGAGATAAAGAACAAAATGAAATATTAAAATCAAGATGTATCTCGATGCATTGGACGAGTACTCGTCTGGTGTATATATATATATATATGTAATGGTGTTGGGATGAATTGACAAAACAAGAAAGAAAGAAACAAGAGTGGCCCCTCCCACCATCTCCTTCACAAACTCAACACCAATCATCGTTTATGTGTTCACAACCACCTTCTCTTTCCTTCCTTTAATAATATTGATTCATGAACAGACGACATAGATGAACAAGATTTCTAATTACATACATATATCATAATATGTGACATGAAATGAAATGAATTAGGAAAGGGGATTTCAACCATTTGTTTATTTAATCCACTAATTATAAGAATATTGAATATGCTTCCCTTCAAGTTTTTGGTGAAAATATCTCAGAGACAAAAAAAAAAAAAAACAAGAGGAATAGTTCAACAGTGCAACAACAATGGATGGCGTTGACGTTGACGTTGACGTTGACGTTGACGTTGGCGTTCATTTCATATCTTAATTCATTCCAACTCACTCTCTATTATCTGTTTGCTTTTCAGAATATTGTTCAACTACCTACCAATGCAAGATGAGAATTGAAGCTAATTAATTATTAAGTATGGTTGGACATGTTATTATATGTGTTTGAGTAGCAAGCCTGGACAATGTTGCCCCCATCTTTACTCCTCGAGGTGTTGCCTCAACTGAGTTTATGTCCCAATTGCCATCATCATCAACCCTGCTATCATTCCTCCAGAAACACCATTTTCCAGGCACAACCCCATTCCCTGAGCGCTTTAATATCTTCTTGTCCACCTCCTGCATCAGCACATGATCATCTTCTTTCTTGAAATTTCCAACCATTTTGTAGTTGAGGCCCTCTAAACTCTCGTTTTTACTCATAAAGTATCTCAAATCATTGTCAACCGTCGTGTTCTGAAAACTAGGTGAGTTACAGATGACTGTTTGGAAGTAGAATTCTAGAGGAGATGCTACATTGCTCATGTACATGAGCAGTTTCCTAGGGAAATTGTCCCATCCTTTTACAACAAATTCTACCAACGATCGGCTTAGGATCACCCAGGGGGAACCTGCGAGCATCCCATCAATTTAGATTTAAATTTTGGTTGGTTGGTATTGGTTGATGAAACAATTGTCATTCTAGATATACCTGCTACAATCTTGAACGTGTTTGGTGCATCTCTAGTCTCTCTAGCATAGAAAATGGGACTGTCTTTTCTGTTATAGATGCTAGGATCAACAACCACTTGCTTAACTCGCTCAGTGTTCCTAATTAATTACCATATACTTCAAACGGAGTTAATGAAGAAACTTTTAAATGACAAACAGAGAGACAAGTAAGTTACTCATTTGAGCCGCTGGTATTGTTTGCGAAATGTATAAAGTTGAGGTCCCTGGGCAACAATGTAAAAGCGTGGAGGATATCTGCAGTCAACAATTAATAAGTAACTTATATTATTCAGGAAGGTAGTAATTAATTAATCAGTACCATCCTGAGTCATGAGTGGGTAATCAGAGGCACCCAGTGTGATGAACCAATCCCAGGTTGTACTGATTTTGAGAAGCAACGCCGAGGCATGGAGCAAGGCAGCAAGACCAGATCCTCCCATCTGGTTAACGGCATAGCTCCTGCCAACTACGTTGACATTGTTAAAAACAGCAAACAAGGGGTTGGATTGGACAGAAAGTGCCAGATTCCTCCTCTCATCTGAGCTGGAAGACGCATCCAGTAGCAAAAGGTACTGATTTCTGGGATGGTAGCTAGCCTTCAACACCCTCATTATCCTTTCACCATCTCCACTGGATCCATGAATCCAGTAAGCCAGCACTGGAGGCTCACCTGCCCTCTTTGATGCCACTGTTACTCTCTTCCCATCCCAATCTAACTTTGTTTTTGTTGTTGGGTATCCATGTTGCAAATATGATGCTCCAACGACCAATAATAATAAAGTCGCAAACGACGCCAAAAACTTGAAAGATTCAAGTTTCATCATCTGGCTGGGTTATGTAATTAGTTTGCTAGCTGATTAATATTAGGAGAATATTCAGGAGATCGATGGATTGTAGCAGCCTGATAGAGTTAAAAGGGGTAGCTAGGGTTTGAAAGATGGAGTAAAGATTACTCCTAGCACTAGCATGGAAGAGATGTCAAATAGGGAGGATGGAGATGGACCAACCACGGTTAAAGAGAGAGAGAGAGAGGCTTTAACATAAATAAATGAAAAAAGCAAGTGATTTTTTGTTCAAGTTGTAATAATTAAGAAAATGTGCAAGTTTTAATTTTACAAAAGGCAAACCAACAAGATGATATTTTGAATTAGGTCATGGAATCTTGAGGATTACTATTACTACTAATCATTCTTAATGTCCAAAGCAAAGCCTGGCCCAAAAAGTCCCTTAGTACGTACGGAATAGGTTAAACGGTATTTCTTCCTTTTTCTAACAATCTTTCCTGCTTTTTCTCTTCACAACCCCCTTTGGGATCTTTGTCTTCTCCAACCCTCCCCAAAATTGTTATTTATCATAAGTTTTAGAAAAACATGGAAGCTATTTCAAGCTCTGCCTTCATACCCACTTTTCAAGAGACGCGCTCTCTTATTCAGTCGTCCCCTACCTCCTGTAGAACTAAATTGTGCTTTCCCAAAACCGCGCTTTCCGGATTTGGATCTCGAATTCTTACCGCTGTTGCTCGCCAAGTTTCAGGCGACGCCCAAGATGATGACCAACCACTTCTTGAGAATGGCTTTACCTTGCTTCCTCCATCTACTTCTCTGGTATCAACTCATATCTCTTTTCTTTTCATTTCTGCTGTCTGCTTAAGAAAGAATGTAGAGAATTGATAAAACAAGAAAGTGATTCTTTTTATGTCTCTTTTATTTTAACCAGAAGCTCGCCTTTTATGGCTCAAGGTTGTAATGCTAAAAGTTGGAGACTTTCTGCAGAGACACAAGACCTATTTTAGCACTCGAAAGAAATTATTTTCTCAAGGCTTCCCACTATACAGTTTATAACAATTCCCATGGTCCTCCAAAATTGCATAAGTAAACCTTTCAGGAGATGCAACATGTACGACTTGAGTGGAAGAACACAAATCCTTTTTAGTTCAACAATAGATACTTTGTTGTCATGGCTTCATAGTTCAACGCTTAAAACTCTTCATTCAATCCCAAATGCTTAAAGAAAAAACAAACAAAGAAAAAGAAGCTCTTATTGCACTAGTGGTCATGCATAGATTGAAATAATTATGTTTTAGGCGCTTCCCTGAAGGCCATTAGGAAACTGTTTTAACAAATTCCAAGGTCCTTGAGAATATGCGTACCATGGTTGTGTATTTGTTCAAAGAGTTGATGACATGTGAATATGTGATATCCAAAGAAATCCTGGTATGAATATCTCCTAGTGAGACAGCGACCAAAACATATGGTAACTAAGTACAAGTTGAATGAAAAAGAGTACAAATCCTTTTCATGTGATGTAGCTTATGAATGGATACTTCAAACGGATGCTCAAGATTTGTAGTGATGGCTTCTCACATTTTCTGAAGGATAAGTCGGATCAAACTCATAGCGTTGAGAAGGTTAATATCATATCAGATATGGTGACACCTACCACCACAAGTGGGGGAGGCACTAGGGCTGGGCTCTTCAGAACCCCAATATCTGGGGGCGTGCAGAGTGCTACCTCTGTTCATGACTTGCCTAGACCAGCCTTGGCAGTACGCAATCTGATGGAACAGGTGAACAGATGCTCTGTTGTTTGTTAGTATGGGCTGATCCAATCCTTTTCCCAACTTCTTTGTTGTGTACTGTATCTCCTTCGAGAATTCTTATCTTTTTTCACTATTTTTAACTTAAGGCCAGGTTTGCTCACTTGTGCACTGTAATGTCTCGGATGCACCATCGACGTGAAGGTTACCCATTTGGTTCACTGGTAGACTTTGCACCAGATGCAATGGGGCGTAAGTTGCTCAACTCATTGATTTTAGAATACTCGAGTTTCATCTCTTCCTACCTGCTTTTATCCACTCTGCTGATGAAAAAATATATTTCAAGTAAAAGCTTTTGAAGGACTAGAAAACTTCTGGCGGGTGTTATCAGATCATAAGTTTTCATTGTCCATCTGTCTATCCAAATCCTTTTCCTATATACTTTCTTAGACTTGGGATGAAATATGTTGCAAATTCCTGGTTAGATGTGTCTTATATTGAGTTGAGTTGAGTTGAGTTGAGTTGAGTTGTATCATTTGTGATTCAAGCGATTTTATCTTATTCCACTTGCAGATCCAATATTTTCTTTTTCTCCATTAGCTATACACACGAGGAACTTGTTAGCTGACCCAAGGTGTACATTGGTGGTGCAGGTTAGTATGCTTTGTTGCACAAATTAATCATCTTTTGAGTTGGATGTAGATACCTTACTTTTAAAAGTTGTCTTTGTAGATACCTGGATGGAATGGCTTATCAAATGCAAGAGTTACTATTTTTGGAGATGTTTTTCCCCTTCCGGAAGATCAACAGGTTGTTTATTAAAATATTAAGGTGTAGGAGTAGATATGTTTTGTGTGATGATTTGGGCCATTCTTGCTTGCAAAAAGAATTTGATTGTGGTTTTGTCTTGTAGGAATGGGCTCATAAGCAGTATATAGCAAAACATCAACAGGGGCCTTCGCAGCAATGGGGAAACTTTTACTACTTTAGGATGCARAATATAAGGTTTGATTTTGTACAATGACATGAAGATTGAGAGACAGGCCTTAACTTAGTGTTGTATGTTTGTTTGAAGCAGTGATATATATTTTATTGGAGGTTTTGGGACAGTTGCTTGGGTTAATGTAAAGGAATACGAGGCTCTTCGACCTGACAAGATTGTTGTGGATGGAGGTGAGCAGAACCTGAAGGTGAGTTTGAGATTTGGTTTGGTTTGGTTCGGTTTGGTTGACATGAAAACTGMTGTCTGATAAGCAGATGATGGAAAATGTATGTATGTATTACTTGGYAGGAGCTGAATGCAATATTCTCAAAGCCCCTGAAAGAGCTGTTATCACTGGAAACAGAGGTTGATGATGCGGCACTCATATCAATAGACAGCAAGGGAACAGATGTTAGAGTGCGTCAAGGGGCACAGGTAAGTAGTGAAGTTTTGTTTTTTGTTTTAAAGCTAATAGGTGTAATATGTATGTATGTATGTATGTGGCAGTTTAACATACAGAGGTTAGCATTCGAAGAAGGTCATGGGGTTGAAACGCTTGAGGAAGCCAAAACAGCACTGTGGAACTTTATTCACAGAGGTCGTGGCTTGGACAATTTTTGAGGCCAATTGCTTTTGTTTACTAATAGAAGTAAATAAAAAATAGGAAAGAAAAAGAAAGTCCAACTCCATGTATTCCTAATTCCTTCTCACTGTGAAATGTGAATGATGATGATGATGATGATATATTACTGTTAGTTGAGTTAATTGTTTAAGTGTTTAGTATCCTGCGGAATGATGCCATACATGACAATGGAATCATTATAACCACTAATTAAGCTTAAGAAACATCACACTTTTTCTCCATTGAAGCAAACAAATAAATTTTAACTAATTTTTTCATAAATCAATTTCTTAACATTCACAATCACCAACTAGAACTACAAACAGACTGAAACCAAGACGACTACTACCAAGTACCAACCAAAGCTAGCTAATAATACAAGGACAACATGCGCTCATTTCTGGCAAAATAAAACTTAAGCCCACGCCCTCACTTCATTTCCACCAATAATTAATTAATTAATTAATTATCCTTTGGGTTATTTTTAGCAAATGTCCAATATGTTTTTGTTAGTCCAAAAAGATATTATGCTTTATATATATATATATATATATATATATATATATATATATCTTATTAAGCTGTTTCATGCTCAGTTAAGTTAAATAACTTGATATACATGTTTAAGCAAATATCATGAAAGTAGCACCCGGGAAATAATTCACATATTCCTAGGAAAAGAGTGACAATATTAATTTATTAGAATTTATAAATCAAATATACTTCACATCAAATTCAATAGAGTTCAGAACATAATGTATATGCAGGGGGCCTTCTTGTTCAGGTGTCATGTCAGTACATATTTTTATGAACCTCAAAGAGGAGAGATAAAGTGAAAATATACTTGTAGCAAACCAATGAAACATTTGATAAACCCCTATGCCACAAGAGCCAAAGATAAATCGAGCAATCAATGATAGAACCAACCTTTGGTTAAGATGCGTGCATCTCAATGGCCGCCATGCTGCTGATGTTCGAGGTGACGACGCTCCTCTGGAAGAGCAACGAGGTAGGACAAGATCATGCCACCGAAGCAAACATGATATAGAGGCTGGATGGAGTCACTTTGAAAGTTTTTGGCATGATAATTATCCATTGTTCTCTGAATAGACGTCCTCAAGTTGCTCATTATGACCAACGGCTTAACGTGATCCGACACGTCTTTCACCTTCATCCCCCTGATCTCGTGGAAAATTTGCCTCATCGCCATTGATGACTCGCTGAAACCCTAACCCTCTCCGGTTTTCTTTTACTCGCCGGAGGCTAGAGTAGTGATGGCCCGTCTGGGCTGGGCCAGACCGGTCCTTACCGGTCATGTGCCTCACCAGTGTCGGTCATAACCGGTCCCCGTCGAAAATGATGAGCCCGGTTAAGCATTCCTATAACCGGTTATGATGATCTGGTCCCAACCATTAATTTTTTTAATGGTTCTAATAGTAGATTTATTTAATACATTATAAAATTTATAATTGGGTCATTCAAATATACTTTAAAAATACATTTTATTATAATTAAAAGTATCATTTTGAGATAGAGGATCTTGGTGAGGCCAAAATGATTATTGGGATAGAAATTACTCAAAAACAATGCTTGGAAAAGTTGTTGCTAGGGTTTAATGTTGGTGCTGCAATAAAATTTGTAAGTACTCCTCTTGCGGCCCATTTTTAACTTAGTGTAAAATCTTGTCCTAAATCAGAAGAAAAAAAGGAAAGAGATGGATGATATTCCATTTGCTAATCTTGTTGGTGGGTTAATTTAATGTATATCATGGTTTGTTCTCGCTCAGATATTGCCCAAGCTATCGGTGTAGTGAGTCGATATATACACAATCCGGTAAAGGTCACTAGACAACTTTTAATAGATCAGCAGTAAGTAATTGCAATAATCAATTGCTAATTAATAGAACAACATTAAGTAATTGCAAGACAGTTACAAATAAAAAGAAAAAGACATGTGGTTTTTCTAAGAAAGAGATGGAGCAAATTGTTGTGTGAAAGTGAGTTTGTGAATCTTTGTGATCTCCACAATTAGATAGTAAATTTGTCCCTACTGCTTAGTGGATGTAAGCTAATGCGAAACCACGTAAATCTTTGTGTTCCTTCCAATTTTTACTTTCTGATTTGTATCACAGTACCAATTTTTGTGCTGTTGTGAATTTATACATTAACCAGATAGGTTATCGTTGTGTTATTTGTTTTCAAAGATAGTTTACTATTGAAACTTGTTTTATAACACTAAATGCATGCCAACCTCATAATGGAATTGCAAACATAACTTCATTCAATGACCATATTGTATATAAACACCAAAATTAATAAATCAAGCCAGAAAAACATAAACATAACAACAATAATTTAGCAATTAAAGTAATCCCTAACTAACAATCAAACAAGCCAGCTCTTCCTTCAATTCCCCCACGCTAAACAAAACACAAACAGCATATACACATTAGGTACTATTAGCCATTAGGGGCCGGATCGTATTTGTGACTGTACATACGTGTGATTGTCAAAATTAATACATATCCCTCAATCCACAACAATTAATATACACCCAAACCCCATATGCTTTATTTGCTCATCAATGCAACCACAGTAACAGCTTCACTCCACCACCACCACCTAACTATCAATTGCAACCTACACCTGGCAAGAAAATGATTCATACTTATCAGGAACTAAACCAAATTATAAAATAACAACACTCTTAAAAAAGGAAAAACAAGTTTTCAGGCCCTCAAACAGGAAATTGGAGGAACCGTCTTTGCCTTATTTTTTTTTGGCATGTTGACAGAAATATTTAAGCACACCATGAGCAAGTAACTATCTCAAGTGAAAGAAACAAAAATGCAAACAAGAGCTCCTCATGGATGCCAAAGGTAACAAGGAGACGTCTTAAAGAGAAAAATGATGCTCCTTTGACACTGTCAAATAGGGATAGTTTCTCTACTACATAATACAAATTCCAAGCCAATATGTCATATTGAATCACCTCAGAACAACACCTAGAGGTGAGACTAACCTTGTCTCTATCTTTCCTTCAAGGTAACTAGGATTGCTGAATCACTTGCAAACAGAAAAGACATGCCAACAAATGCTTAAGATGGAGCTTACCATATATCCGAACATATTTGTGCATTGCTATCTCAATATAGACCCAACATTCTTAGCTCTGTAACATGGCTGGGGTCAAGTTCAGCAACATCCTTGTTTACTTCTCTGTCTTCTACAATGTATTCCTGGTAAAAACAATCAAGTTTGATCAGTATAAACTCAAAAGAGGGTCAAGAAAAAGAAATAGAACATGAGGACAAATACAAAGCACATCAGTTATAACAATCATTTCCAGCACAAGGGCATCAAGATTGTTAGATAACTCAAAAGATATGGCTTTAACTGTTAGGATAAGATACCCCAACAAGGTATGAACTACACACATGAGGCCGAGATCCAGGAAAAGCAGGCTAAAAGTCTTGATCAAACAAAGGTCCAAACAAGTCAGCAAAGGGACCCAACCCAAACTGAGGACCTTAGGCACTGCTGGAAGCAATTGACTCTACATGAGCACCGCAGCTTGACCATAAAACATGGAACAACTTCATGGGACCTTAATCCAAGTCTAGCAGAGAGTCGTTAGCATCTTAAGAGTAAAACAACATCAAGCTCAAACTATAAATAGGAGGTAAACAGAACTGGTAAAGGACTCTACTTGACTTGTATAGCCAGGCTTTTATTTCATTCACAGGTGCTTACTCTCTTGCAGGAGGATTGGAGGGCTCAAATTCCTTCATATCCGTTGTAATTCAGATAACGAAGATCTACTTGAGGGTACGAAGCTAGAATTAACAATACTTCAAAACCTCAAAAAAGCTAAAATCATTCCTACGGAAGGCTCTGGAATGGTAGATTGGTCTGCTCGAACCCTGATACTAATAGCAACAAAGCCATTAACTTCTTTGTTATCCAAATCAGCGCTCGTTCGTTCTACTCCTGAAAGTCATAAACCCTCACGTATTAGGTAACTCAATTTCTTTCCTACTTCTTTCGTATTTTCACATCCGTTTGTGTTGGGATATGGATTTCATTTCATCTTTATTAAATTGGTTTTCGTTGATTATCCATGAGGTTATTTCTCATTGCTTTTTCCTAGTATTTGATATTTATTTAATTGATTTTTGTAATGGAGGAGAAGGTACAATCTAGGTCCCCCCTACTCTCTCTACTTTGAATCTTTCCCCTCTTTCCATTCTGGTTAACTTCTATCTCTGGTGAACTGTAAAATTCCCAATTTACAGTTGATAATTACTAAACATGCCACTAGTTCATGGATATGATCCACTAATTGAGCCATTCGTTAGAGAAAGTTGAAACAACAGAAGTAGTTCATCTTCACAACAATGGTTTCACGCTGCACCCTGTGAGGCTATCGTCTCCCATTGTGCTTTTTTCAGTCTACTTTTAAGCACATATGTTAAAATAGGATATCATATGCCAACGGTTCTAATCTTCGTTTCTGTTTGCTGCTGCTTGAGTTTTCTGCTGTTTGGCTTAGTTGTGATTCATGATTCCCTATAAGCAAAAGTTTTATTTAGTAACGTATGTTTTTCACATTGATCAGAGAACTCAAGAAAGTTGTTTGGCTGGGTTGTTCCCACTGGAAAGATCTGATTACTAATACTACTTGTATTGTTTCATGAACCTCCTAATTATCGGTTTTGGGCAGTTAATATTTGAGCTTGCAATAATGTGTGTTGTTCCTGGGATTGCTATTCTGTTTGATTTTGATTTCAACAAAGTGACCTGTTGTTTGTGGGAAAGCTATGAGTACATTAATTTGTTTGGTTGCAATTTCATAAGAGGCTATGAACATGGACATCCACATTGTTTTTCTTCTCTTTTTGTGATAGTTCTTATTTCTTTTAGCAGACTTGGATAAGTAAAAGATTAGATGATGTGGTGGTGTGCTTAAACTTTGTTCTAATCAGGAATCAAATGTTGATGGAATGATATCAGAGCAAAGGAATATAGATGTTGCAATAGTAGAGACAGAACAGAAGCAAACCACAGCAGCATCACAAGTTGAAGAGAGTAATGAAGATCATAAAGCGATTGGGTTAGGTCATTAATGGATGATTGTTTTGATTGGTTTTAACAAGAATCTATGCTTAAACTATTCTTATATAGCCAACATCGCTGGTGGGAAAATTCAAATGTTGATCGCAATTAATGAGATTGCAAAGATTTTAAGAGAACTACAAAATTTGTGATGGTTTGATATGAGAGTTTGGTTTGGTATAGCATTTGATTTGATGTTGATAGATAATTGTTATATTATTTAAATCAATTCTCTCTTGGTGAGGGATGGTGTTTATTAGAAATATTCTGCATCAAAATAATAATTTTTTTGGTAATTTATCTTTAACTTATTATATCATTTTTGCATAAAACATAATAAAGGATTTTGCTTTTCATCAAACAGTTATTTTGAATGGTGCTTAATCTAGACTGAGGTGTAAAATAGGCATTCATGTCATTCAGGCTGTTTATTCAGCACAACAAACAAAGAACAATTTAGCTTAATCCATATAGGACTTGATGGAAAAACAACCAAACAGCCTCTTAATCAACTAAATGACCCATATTTGCATCCATTTCCAGTCCTAACCATTTAACTACGTGGTGAGTCCTGAATTTAATCTTCTCGTCTAGTACTAGTAGTTTGTTTATCCTTAAATTTACCAATGGGTGTTCCATTATAATTTCTATGTAAGGGCTCTTCCACTCTACCATGCATCAATTTTAGGGGATGGAAGAGCTGACCTTTGTCAGTTCTTGTTTGGCAAGAATGTGATAGTGGCGTTCGTTGATTCGCTGTCCACAGATTATGGCTATAAAGAAACCATAGAGCAAGCCCACCAAAACAATTGCTAAGACTGAAATGAGACAAATGATAGGTTAGAACAGGTCTTAACAGTGTAAATGCATAATAATACAAAAAGACAGATTGAGTTAGAATTATAGCCTGTTGATGCACGAACCTAGCAAACCAAACAATCTACAGGTACAAGGTACTTGAGACTAATAGTTTCCAATTAAATAAATAGAGGCAAACTGAGTTACTGCAGCACTCAACTAAGACATGGTATTTCAGTACTCGAACTCATATCAAGTTGAGGAAAGTGACATATTTCAATAGTATAACCTATCTAGCATTGTGTCAGGATATCACCTGATTTTACCAACATACCACTATCAGTACTTCAGAGCTAGTCTCAGGTATCTGCGTTCCTCCTAGTGTTTTACTGCCTTTAGAAAGAAACAAATGCATTCTTTCAGGCAAAAGCCTATGGCAGTTGACGTGGTGGTTAATCAAGGAGCTCGATTGGGCATAAGTGGTATTGTTGGTGGTTCCCATGTTGCCAAGCACAAACCTGTCAACCGCTTACTCAGAGTGGAAATTGGGGAATTTCAGATTCTATTCTTATTCCATTTTCAGCTTTGCTAAGGCTAGTTAATTTGGGACCTTAATGTATGCCCGTGCAGCTTGTCTTGTGTGTTTGGTTATTAAAGATCTCTTCACCAAAAAATAAAAATAATAACACACTTCACATCAGGCCAAAACTTATACACAAGGTAGTGGTTTGAGTTAGCAAGAAATACCTTTTTCTCTCTTGCATAGTCACTCATCTTATCAAAGTTATTAATGCATCACCCATGCATCATTATTAGCATGGCCATGCTGTGACACAGTGACAGTCTGATTATTATTATCTTGCTAAGCCTAGTTAACTTGGGACCTTGGAGTATGCGCCTTGCAAATTGTCTTGTGTCTTTGGCTATAAAAAGATCTTTTTTTTTACCAAAAAGATAATAATAATTCACTTCGCATCAGGCCAAAACTTAAACACAGATAGTGGTCTGAATTAGCAAGAAATACTTTTTTCTCTTAAAGTTGATTTTTTCTCTTGCACTGTGACTCCCAAATTCAATCTGGTGTAAGCGACTTTGAGGTAATTTTGGAGGTCACCTACGTAGTTGCTATACAGGGGGAACACTACCGTACAGTGTCCGCTACTTGAATGCGGCTTGGAAGGTCCCTCAACATGTCGCTTACAACTTACAGTACAATACTTGTGACTTCCATGTGACTTGTAAAGTTGCCCAATATGTCGCGTATGAAAAACCAACAAGCAGCCAGGAAGCTTTTGAAGTTACCAGTAAGTCGTTTTCGGGGACCAGCCAGCTTTATCGCCTTTTCTATGTTGTTTTGTTATTTGCTTCACTATACAAATATATAGCTTATTCCCGGAAACAACATTGATGAACTTGTATACTCCAGCACCATTTTCTCCATTGTATTGCATTGTAAATTCATCCTTTCAATAGTGGATTTCTCTCAGTGGCCCCCTCCACCCATGGTTTTTTCCTGTTTCGGTTACCACAAAAATCTCGGTGTCGTCTCTTATCTCTCTTTATTTTGCTACTATATTTATTGATTGCTATATGATGATGATTGGTATTCATTTTTTATTGAGAACTAAGTCTATTTCTGCATTGGAGTTGATTTGGTATTGTGAAGTATGATCATTTGGGGCGGTTTGACTTTCACCTAGTTTGACTAATTGTTGGACATCATTATTGGATTAAAAGTATATTAAATCTTGTTAGAGTCTCACACAGGCTAGACTTGGACGAATTCTCCTCTAGATATGTTGGAACCTCCCTCTCTCCTCAAGGGATCTTGGGGGTTCAACATATTCTCACAAATCTCATGATTTTGTAAAATCAATACTTCATCAATGCATCGTTATTAGCATTACCAAGCTGTGACACAGTGACAGTGTGATTCCAATTGTAATTCAGTTCTGGAAAAATAGCAAAGAGATAAAAAAAATTGAGCTTACCAGCCATCGTATAAAAACCATATGGGTGTTCTTCATATCCAAACATTTCTCTGAGTTCATCTCCATAAAATTTGTAGACCAACACGCCTAAGAATGCTACAATCTGTAGAAAGGCTCCAAACAAAATTCTAGTTATGAGCAAGTTGGTAATGAGACACTATATTGCCACTGTTAGCAAGAAATACGCACTGATAAAGGGTAGCCGATCAGCCCATGCATATTAATCAAGTGAGTAAATGTAGAAGCAGCGAAGCACCTTACCAGCACTGGCAGAAAATTTTATTGAGCTAATTCAGTAGTGATATCAGGTAACCATACTTATCACTCAGAGAGTTATCTCAAAATGTTAACCATAAATTGGTTAATAACATAGCACTCCATCAACACAGAGACAAATGGTCAATAATATAACTGAACCAGCGTCATAGTTACAATATCAACTGTTTGTCTGTCATGAATATTGTGTCAACATGCCTATGTGATAAACAACCATTATCATAGAAGAAAGATGATATAAGAAGGGGAATCTATTGGCAACCTATGACAATGGACCGCACCTCACTGGTTCAGTAAAACAGTTCATTCATGATATAGAAAAAAATAGCCTTTGTACCAGTTGAACAATGACGAAAATGAATGCATGATCCCTTGCAACCAGCAACTGAAATTTCAACCTCAACCACCAGCGGTCATGTGGGACATTTGCACGTAGTATAAACACTGCCCTACATTCTGTGCAATGGGAGAATGCAAAGCCTTCCTGCAACGATGGTAGACAGACATCAGTAATTGTGCAGCACAGCAAGAATTGATAGAATTAGTGATTATTGATAGCAAGAATAGGATTACGATGATAAACCTCACCTTGAATACACAATATTCCATAAAGAGCAACAATAAATATTGATTTCAGCTACTAGGGTACAATAAACCATATTTTAGAGCTTACCCTGGTTGACCTCCAATTGTCAAGACACGACCTGTGGACATATTTCTGGGTGCCTCTACAATGGCATGGTGCAATCAAGTCTTCTCCTGTAAATCAGTTAAAAGAGGATCTCAAAATTGGACTACGAATCAATATTCACATCCATAAAATTGCTTTTTGTTGAATTACTTCAGTTACAATGAAATCATAACAAAAACAGATCTCTGAAGTTTTATAAACAGTCGAGACCTTCAGTATCAAGGCATATGCGGCACTGCGGTTGGTCTGAAGTTACCAGGCTACTGTTTTCATTGACATCTGGATTTTGTGAATCTTCAACAGCTATAGAACAATCAGTGCCACCTACAGTTCTTATTTCAAAAGTAGATGAATAGTTGTCAGCCCGCTCAGCACTTTTAGACACATTTAAGATGGGTTCTGTTTCTGAAGAGCCCTCTGTTGGACTGTCATTTGACATTAGTTGCATCTTGAGAAACGTAGAATCAGGATCCAAGTACAACTTGCAAAGAGGTTTCTTCTATATACCATTTCAACAGAAACTCCAAATCCTGCAAGTTACAAACAAATAACAATACTAAACAAACAGACTCATCCTCGGCATCAGTACAGTTGAACAGCCAACGCATAATGCTACTTGTCCTGGAATCAACTGAAGGATCACAAATGCACAGATATGCAACGCCAAATCAGACCAAATCTAGAAGAAGTCCTATAAAAGTAGTAGAAGGGAAAAAATCTATGCATTCAAAAAGGCATTCAGGTAACCCTTCTTGGATTGGTCACTTATGGCTTCTGACGGATCTCGTTCATCGCCTAAATTGGGTAAGGCTCTGTTGCTGTTATGCTAAAAACACATTCTTAAATCCAATACATATAGAACACTAAATTACCATCTCAAATTTTTTGAGTTATTCTGTAGAAAGGAACACGTTACAAACCAGAAGATAAATGGTTCAGGCCTCACTAATGATGTCTCAACTTTGCTTGAAGTAGATTGGGGTAAATGGCAAGTAGGTCTAAAAAATGTCCAATCATCAAGTTCTACAGTGGTTAATCATTGCACTGTGGTAATAGCACGGATGAAAACAATAACACATTTAGAAGTGACTGAAGGCAATAACATTACCAGCCATGAAAAGGAGATTCATGGATTGAGCATCATATGTTTATAAAACAAGATCCAATATGAAAACCAACAACAAATAGCATAACTGAACAAGAAGTCCATGGTCTCAGGTAGAAGCTCCTTGTCATCTGCAAGCAAATTATGACTTGTATGAAATCAGTCCCACTAGATCCTACATTCCTTGATGCATTGTTTGATATCATAAGAACCAAGTTGGTGAAAGGAAGTTCAACATAATTTTTCTCTATAGCATCTATAAACCCACCCAGTAAATAAAATGCAGAGTATGTAATGGTCCTGAAGAATCCCTACCCTGCATGTCTTTAAGAGAACAAACTTCTTGGAGGAGATGGTGACATGGAAAGAAACAGACTCTTTTTGTTGTTATTTTTCTTTGATTCTTCTACCTTTTACTTTCGGGGGCGCTTTTTTTTTTTTAATAAAACAACAACCAACTAGATCACATAAGCATTATAGTAACACAACAATCCACCCAAGGTAGTTTCCAAATAGTTATGACATGAACTTTGACAGACCCAATTGTAACTCGTCAACAAGTCCTAAAATTTATTTGGGATTTAACTTACAATAAAATATCTGCTAACCCAAACTTATTTTTTTATGCATCTCATAAATTACCCATATATTATCTTAAAATTCCAACATTACTAAACCAAAATCTCTCTTTCTCGGCCAGCCTTCTTCCTGTAACCTATTATCATACTGCCAGTAGATCTTGAATGCTCTTGGCGAGGCTACCAACCAGCTCATGGCATATCAGTAAGAGGAAGATAGTAAGATTAACCATAAGGCATTAGAAGCTGCTTGAACTGCCCAATGGACTTTGAAGCTTAAATTAGAAGAGAATATTTGGTTTAAGCTGTTAACATATATCTTGTACGGCAAAGACGAATTCAATGCTCGCACAATTCCAAGAATTCATTAACAGATCAAAGCTCATGGCAATTAATAATGATTCAAAGATGTAGCAATCTTAAAGATGCAGATATAGAAGCGGATTGTTGTGGGTTAATTTTAGATGATGAAAGCTTGAGAGATGATTTACAGATAAATTAGGGATAATTGGTTGACGAGCTGACCTGCTTTCAAGAAATGATTAAGAACCTTGTAGACATTCGAGAATCGTAGGGCTGAAGGAAGTCTTAAAGATTGGCGGCCGATGAAAATTGGGAGCTCTGTCAAATGGAGATCAACAGAAAGACCTGGATTCGATCAACATGAATAACGATGGCAAACTAAAATGGTGTCTTTATTCATAATGATTGATCAACTAATTACTATGCTTCTCATAAAAATAAAAATATTTGATTTTTTCGAAGAATATTTATTATTACGAGATTAATTAAATATTATTCTTCAACAAAAAGTGAAAACTAGCCCTGGACCTGGATCATAGGAACCAACATGAGCACTTCAAACCTGAAGTTGATAGGAATAACACTTGATGATTCGATGGACAATTTAATGAAAAATTTTTGTTCTCAACGCTTACATAACAGATGACTAGTAAATCAAGCGTTGTTTCTAGCAATCAAAATAGCCCAATATCAAGATTTAACGTACATATTAGAATTTCGGTAAGAAGAACGAACGAGTGTCATTTGCTTCAAATTAGAAAAAGTCCAATGAACCATATTAGAGTGATCTCTAACCAAAAATAAAAGAAAGAAATAATCCGATTGTGACCAATAATTGTTATGATATTGTTTGAAAACAAACAAGCTTTCTAGAGGGTCAGTGAATGCAACGTTCCAAAGGCCATGGATATCAAACATACACCTCTTCATGGCTAATTCAGAATTCCTTGATAAATTAGTTTTTTAGTGCTCATTTGAGTTGAGAGATCAATTATACACATAATATGCAAAAACACTAGCTGGTCTTTTATCCAAATTTCAAGTGGTTTGTTAACTCGACATGCGTTAGGATTCTTGTATTTGATTGTATAAAAAACATAGTCAGCTTTAATTTATTTGCATTATTATCATGATACACTGTATATTGTTTGTAGAACCGCATATGTTGCATTCACTTGTCATGAAACTTGTTTGGTATGGCCTGTGTGATTCGGGTTAAGGACGAGCAGTGATTTATCCCTCAACAAGTGCTATTAGAAGCTTGATATCTATTGTTGGGTACGCTGCTGGCAATCCTTCTGCATGATTTGATAGCATTTGGTTAGCACAAGTCAAGTGTTCAATAAAATGTCCAAGTCAAAAGAAAACAATACTTGATATGTTTGTTTGGAGTATGTATTTGTGGAGAGGTTTGGATCTTTTAAGACATTTAGGCCCGTTCTAATCAAAGGATGCCCTGCCCTATTAGAGTAGCAAGTCAAGAGGTTGGGGTGTTTGTAACTATTGCCAAAAACCTGAGTGTTGAGTGTGTCTCTGAAACCAAAAAAGAAACAAGAGACTCGAAGGAATTGACGGGGGCCCGCACAAGCGGTGGAAAAGGCGCCTCAATGTTTGTATTATGAACGATGAAGCCATTTAACCGCAATGACGCTCATTTGGTTGTTTCTGGGGTGCCTGTGTGCATTCGTTTAGGTCTCAGAACTCAATTTGGGGCAGTTTGCAATGCAATTTCCTCAATCATTTGAGGGTTTCTTGAGATGTCATGGTCAATTTAAGGGATTAAAGTCCCGAATCACACATGCTTCTGTGTTGATGGCCCAGGCTTAACTTGCATCAAGCAAGGGGAGGAACACTGTTCCAGTTAAGTCAAATTTGGCCTATGGCCTAATCATTATGCTGTAAAGGAACAACCCCTAGAGAGTTGGAAGAAAGATTTACTTTGCATTGCATATATCATCAAATAACAAAATCCCTTGCAATGCTTCTTAAACAAAATACCTGGCTAGGACCAGATGAGCCATCCACCTCAAAACCAAAGGACGCTAGCCAGATTTCTTAAAAAAGATGATGTCATTATCAACAAGGGAAAAGAATGGGAGATGGATCCCTTTGGAGTTTTCCGGTTGCTGCTGATATATCTAGTTTTTTCATCTTTTCTTCACTCCAAAACAACTGCTCTTTGCTAATCTTCACCATCCTCAGCACCCTGCTTATCACCTTTACATCTATAAGCCCAAGTAACAACTCCACCTCCTCTTGTGTTGCAGGCCACTGATTCTTTTTCCCACCCTTCCTCCTTTTCCACAGTTCCTTCAATTTCACCTTCCTCTGCATAAAATAATCAACTTCAAACATATAGGAAATGACCAGAATCATTTTCCTTGCTATTTATTACATACACATTTGCTTAATGAAAGACCAGAGATAACAAACTTGACATGTTCAATTTTACCTTCTCCAGTAAAGATTGAACCTGCTGAAGAGGGGTAGCCATCTGGTTCTGGCCTCCAAATAGATTTCGAACACCATTTGACTTCTTCTTGTCCATCTTTATGAACAGTTGAAAAGTAAGAATTGAGCTCTCGATTATTCTGATAAGATCTGGTGCATGCACCAGCATATCTGATTCCTCTTCTGTCATCTCTTTTCTATCTTGACCTAGAGGTAAGAACAATTTGTCATTAGTATTTTATTTTCAAACTCCACAGTTGATAGGTAATGCTTTTATGCTATTAGCATCACCTAATATATTTGGAACCTGCATAAGTTTCGAAAACGAATTTCTGGTCTGAGCATAAATTTCAGGCCTGAGACCACGCTCGAAAGGTTCATTTTCAATAAATCGTTGCAGCAAAACCTGGAACTGCTGGAACTGCTGAGCACTATGGTTGTAACATTTGGAACTTTCAGACTGACATGTGATTTTCTGGCTTAGTTGTGAATACTGCCAGTGGAGTGCCTCCCAAGTCAAGCACAGTTGAGATACATATGCTGTCTCAAGATCCAGGTATGGATCATTCTCTGGTTGCTGAAGCTGCTCTGCATCATCATCATCTTCAGGATGTTCGATCTTTCTCAAAGATAGGCATCGAAGGGGGGATGTAAGCTTCTTGGACACAGACCTTGGTGATGGAGTGGAGGGATTGTGTGAACCTGTGACTGTAGTAGATTCTTAGGAATCAAGAAGAAATTCATCACGTCATTTAGCAGAAAGCCAAGTGTCATAAAAAAAGTAGCATTTTGTGTGAAAAAAAGGAGAACCATGGACCTCCAGAATCACAAGTGAAATACAAGTCCAGGTCCAACATAAATTAGAACTAGGAAATGTACGATCTCACAAGTATGTATTGTTAATTTAGATAGCACTGCAACGCAAACTATAGTCCCGAAAAGATTCCCGTTTTGTATTTCATTTCTAAAGCTAATTAAGACTGCTTTTAAGTACAAACAAGTAGAAGTAGATTTTCACACTAAATCCCAACTCTTCTCAGATTAGCAAACCAAAACAACAAATTATGAGATGAAAATGGAAAACCACGAGAAAATTACCAATTTCTTTCAACAGCTGTGTAGTAAGACGATCAAAAAACAGCATGCGCTCACAATATTTATCGTAGAATGCACCAAAACAAGACCACAGTTGTCGCCCTTCCGCTTCCACATCCCTCCACTCATTGGAGCTCGCTTCACCCTCCTCCTCCTCATCCTCTTCTGGACATGTTTCTTCCGGTATCAGTACCATAAAACGGTTCCTTCTCAGCTCTTTCAACCTCCTCTTGACCTCATTCATGATAAAATCATCATCGTCCTCATCAACCTCTGTAGCGTTATCAACATCCACCGACTTCCCCAAGTCATCACCATTTTCTTTCTTGGGTTCTTCAGGCACAGGCACAGGCTCCTTTTCTAGGTTTGGTTTGTGGGTTTTTCTGAACTTTTTCAACTTAAGGAACTCCATCAAATATTTTTTTTCTTGAAAGAAGATGCAAAAGCAGTGCTACTAGGATCCTGGTATAAAAACAAGTTGGATACAGAAAAACCCCAAGTGGTATACAGGAGATTCATAAATGATGCTATCAAACAATGACGAAACCAGAATTTGACAAAAGACCCATCACATTAGACCAACAGATGGACATGAGATCTGATCCCATTTTCGATATCCAGATCCTTCATGTACAAAAGAGGGTTTTTTTTCCTTGATACAGAATCTATAAGAACCGACATAAATCCGCAAGAAAAGAAAACAATTCTCCGATGAACCTCTTACAAAACAGATGTTATGTACAAGACAAGAAACAACGTTAAAGCTTGGTAAAGGCAAGACGAGATACACCAAATGAAACCCTAGAAGAAGTGATTTTGGTTAAAATAGAGCAAGGAGAAGTGCAAACAGTGGATACTTGCTTCCAAGTTCCAAGTGTTGATGTGTTTTTGGATTTTTGGTTCAATTCAACTAGTAATTAAAAAAACAGCCTAGTTTTGATTAGATTTAGCGAGAGAAAAAGGAGGAACCCGTACAGAGAATATTGTCAGAAAGACCCACACCCACTACGACACAGCTCGAAGCACAAAGCCGCGAAAACATATGGAGTGTTTTTCATTTTGAAGGTTTTGTTTTTATCATGGGAATATGTCTTCTTATCGTAGTCGTAGCCAAAGTTACTTACAGAAACTATAATCATAATTTGAATTAATTATGAATTTGTCTCGTGGTTTGATGATTTTTAGAAAAATGATCGTCAGGTCTAGAAATAACATTTTGATCCTTATAATTAATAAAAGAGGCACATGGAGTACTTATCGGGGGCATCATATATGCTTGATCCTTTTGCTTCATGATCCAAACAAGGACTTGGGCTTGGCATAGACAATATTTATTTCTTGAGGGGGTCCACTTGGTCAGGCCCAACTTCCTTAACACCTTGAAGCTCCTTCGTGCTCTTAGAAGACTTGCTTATATCCAACTGTCTTCACAGTCCATACTCCATAGAAGTAATAGGGCTGTCCGGTTCATCTGGGCTTAAGAGATTAGGCCCAATCTCAACACCATAACTTTTATCTTGAGGTTGCTGTTGGATTGACGGCCCAACAGGACTGGAGCCATTTATAGGACTTAGACCCAAGAGATTTTTGACAGGGCTTAAAAATTCCAAGTCCACATTTTCAGTAGCCGGCCCAACAGATATCAAATTAGGCAAAGATGGCTTGTTGATAGAAATAGCTTCCACGACCATATTAGAAAAATCCAGCCCAACCTTATCCACAATCTTTGGTTCCAAGCTAGGATGATCTGGAGGAAATTTAAAAATAATAGATTTAAAGGAGTAGACGGGGAAAGACTTACCTGACTAGAAGAGGTGGACACGTGGTCTTGATCGACCTTTCCCATGGCTGCCAAATGACCATTCTTAAAAACCCCAAGTGAAACCTCTCTCTACTTTCTCTCTATGGATTTTTTCTCTCTAGATTTTTGTGATGGTTTTTGATTTTCTTTGTTGTCTCCCTTCCATGGATGATCTGAAAACTCTTATGAAGGAATCTATATATCATAAAGCAAGAAAATTTCGTAAACCTATTCATAGTTTGAAGATCTCCAACCCTCTTCCTAGTTTTCAAAAAGAAAATCTGGAAAGTTCTGAAGAAAATTACAAGGATCAAAGATTGGAGAACGGGCCCCTGGCATGCGGGGAACGGGCGTCCGACGTGCGTGGAACGGGCCCCTAGCGTGCGGGGAACTAGACCTCATGGTCCCCCCTATATATACCTTATGGACAAAAAGCAAAGTGACATGAACAAACATTGATTTTTTGAGCAGTCATAATTTTTCGTAGAAGGCCCAAACGGGGACGGTTTTGGACGAAACTTTTCGTGAGCCCTCTGGGACATAAAAAACGAGGATTCCAACAAAAAAATTACGGATTTGGGGTCGGGATTATCCCGAGGGCTGGCCCGGGGGCGGGACGCCTCGGGAGGGCGTTTACGACCGTTTCACGATCAAACGAAGCCGGTTTTGTATGAAACTTTGGGTGAGCCCTCGGGAACATTTTTAAACACGCCCCGAACTAGGAGATGAACTTTTACAGCCGGAAATTTTTCCGGGGGGCATGGCGTGCGGGGAACGGGACCACGACGTGCGGGGAACGGGCGCCCAGCGGGCGTGGAACGGGCACCGGCGGGCGCGGAACGAGGGCCCAACGTGCGTGGAATGGGCCCGGCATGCGTGGAACCGGCCCCGCGTGCGTGGAACGGGGCCGGCGAGCGGGGAAGGGGCCTCCGGGGTCCGTGGAACGGGCCTCCGGCGTGCGGGGAAGGGGCCCCCGACGTGCGTGGAACGAGCGCCCTACGTGCGGGGAACGGGCCCCCGGCGTACGGGGAATGGGCCCCCGGCGTGCGTGGAACGGGCCCGGCGTGCGGGGAATGGGTGCCCCGCGTGCGTGGAACGGGACTCCGACATGCGGGGAACAGGCCCCCGACGTGCGTGGAACGGGCGCGTGCGGGGAACGGGTCCACGACGTGCCCCTGTGCGTGCGGGGAATGGGCCCGTCGTGCGGGGAATGGGGGCCCGTCGTGCGGGGAACGGGCCCCGCGTGCGGGGAATGGGCCCGACATGCAGGGAACGGGCGCCCGGTGTACGGGGAACGGGGGCCCGGCGTGCAACAGGAATGGGCGACGTTCCCGTGATCGAGGCACGGCGTGGGGGAACCAGACCCCATGGTCCCCCCTATATATATACTTTATGGACAAAAAGCAAAGTGACCCCATGGTTTCCCGCCCACCCCCGGGATAATTTTGGGCTGTAAAAGTTCATCTCCTAGTTCGGGGCAGGTTTAAATATGTTTCCAAGGGCTCACCCAAAGTTTCATGCAAAACGGGCTTCGTTTGATCGTGAAACGGACGTAAACGCTCTCCCGAGGCGTCTCGCCCCCTGGGCCAGCCCTCGGGATAATCCCGACCCCAAATCCCTATTTTTTTTGTTGGAACCTTCGTTTCCTATATCCCAGAGGGCTCACGCAAAGTTTCGTCCAAAACCGACCCCGTTTGGGCCTTCTACGAAAAATTATGACTGCTCAAAAAATCAATATTTGTTCCTGTCACTTTACTTTTTGTCCATAAGGTATATATAGGGGGGACCATGGGGTTTGGTTCCCCCCACACCGTGCCTCAATCACGGGAATGTCGCCCGTTCCCCACACGTCGTGCCCGTTCCCCGCACGTCGTGCCCGTTCCCCACACGTCGTGCCCGTTCCCCGCACGCCGGGCATCCGTTCCCCGCATGCCGCGGTCCCGTTCCCCCTATGCCGGGCGCACGTTCCCCGCACGTCAGGCCCATCCCCCGCACGCAGGGCCCCCATTCCTCGCATGTTGGGCCCGTTCCACGCACGTCGGCCGCCCGTGCCCCACACGCCGGGCACACGTTCCACGCCCGCCGGACGCCCTTTCCTCGCAAGCCGGGAGCCCGTTCTCCGTACGTCGTTCCCCCGGGAAAATTTCGGGCTGTAAAAGTTCATCTCCTAGTTGGGGGCGTGTTTAAATATGTTTCAGAGGGCTCACCCAAAGTTTCGTGCAAAACCGGCTCCGTTTGATCGTGAAACGGACGTAAACGCCCTCCTGAGGCATTCCCGCCCCCAAGCCAGCACTCAAGATAATCCCTACCCCAAATCCGTATTTTTGTGTTGGAACCTTCGTTTTTTATGTCCTAGAGGGCTCGCGCAAAGTTTGTCCAAAACCGACCCCGTTTGGGCCTTCTACGAAAAATTATGACTGCTAAAAAAAATCAATGTTTGTTCTTGTCAGTTTTTTTTTGTCCATAAAGTATATATATATAAGGGGGACCATGGGGTTTGGTTCTCCCCACGTCGTGCCTCGATCATGGGAATGTCGCCCGTTCCCCGCACGTCGACTGCCCGTTCCCAGCACGCCGGTCACGTTCCCCGCACGCCGGGGGCCCGTTCCCCGCACACCGGACGCCCGTTCCACGCACGTCGGACGCCCGTTCCCCGCATGCCAGGGTCCCGTTCCCCGCACGCCGTGCCCCCGGCAAAATTTCGGGCTGTAAAAGTTCATCTCCTAGTTTGGGGCGTGTTTAAATAGGTTTCTGAGGGCTCACCCAAGGTTTCGTGCAAAACCGGGCCCGTTCCTTGCACGCCGGGCGCCCGTTCCCTACACGCCGGGGACCCGTTTCCCGCACGTCGGGTGCCCGTTCCACGTACGCCGGGCGCCCGTTCCCTGCATGCTGGGGGCCCGTTCCCCGCACGCCGTGCCCCTCGGGAAAATTTTGGGTTGTAAAAGTTCATCTCCTACTTTGGGGTGTGTTTAAATATGTTTCCGAGGGCTCACCCAAAGTTTCGTGCAAAACCGGCTCCGTTTGATCGTGAAACGGACGTAAACGCCCTCTCGAGGCGTCCCGCCCTCCGGGCCAGCCCTCGGGATAATCCCGACCCCAAATCCGTATTTTTTTGTTGAACCTTCGTTTTTTAGGTCCCAGAGGGCTCATGCAAATTTTCGTCGAAAACCGACCCTGTTTGCGCTTTCTACGAAAAATTATGATTGCTCAAAAAATCAATGTTTGTTCCTGTCACTTTCCTTTTTGTCCATAAGGTATATATAGGGGGGACCATGGGTTCTGGTTCCCCCCACGTCGTGCCTCGATCACGGGAACGTCTCCTGTTCCCCGCACGTCGTGCCCGTTCCCCGCACGCCGGGCGCCCGTTCCTACACGTCGAGATCGTTCCCCGCACGTCGGGCGCCCGTTCCACGTATGTCGGGCCTGTTCCCCGCACACCGGCGCCGTTCCACGCATGTCGGGCGCCCGTTCCCCGCACGCCGGGGACCTGTCCCCCCCACGCCGTCCGCCCGTTCCACGCCCGCCGGACGCCCTTTCCCCGCACGTCGGGGGACCGTTCCCCGTATGCCGTGCCCCCAAAAAAATTTCGGGCTATAAAAGTTCATCTCCTAGTTTGGGGCGTGTTTAAATATGTTCCGAAGGGCTCACCCAAAGTTTCGTGCAAAACCGGCTCCATTTGATCGTGAAACGGACATAAACGCCCTCCCGAGGCGTCCCGCCCCCCGGGCCAGCCCTCGGGATAATCCCGACCCCAAATTCGGTATTTTTTGTTGGAACCTTCATTTTTTATGTCCCAGAGGGTTCGCGCAAAGCTTAGTCCAAAACCGATCCCGTTGGGGCCTTCTACGAAAAATTATGACTGCACAAAAAATCAATGTTTGTTTCTCTTAGTTTTCTTTTTGTCCATAAGGTATATATTGGGGGGGGACCATGGGGTCTGGTTCCCCCGTGCCTCGATCATGGGAACGTCGCCCATTCCTCGCACGTCGGGCGCCCGTTCCTCGCACGTCGGTCCTGTTCCCCGCACGTCGGTCGCCCGGTCCCCGCACGTCGGGCTTGTTCCCCGCAAGTCGGGCGATCGTTCCTCCCACGCCGGCCCGTTTCTCGCACGCCAGGCCCGTTCCATGCACGCCTGGCGCCCGTTCCCCGCACGCCAGGCGCCCATTTCCCGAGCCAGCCCTCGGGATAATCCCGACCCCAAATCCGTATTTTTTTGTTGGAACCTTCATTTTTTATGTTCCAGAGGGCTCACGCAAAGTTTCGTCCAAAACCGACCCTGTTTGTGCCTTCTACGAAAAATTATGACTGCTCAAAAAATCAATGTTTGTTCCTGTCACTTTTCTTTTTGTCCATAAGGTATATATAGGGAGGACCATGCGGTCTGGTTCCCCCCACGCCGTGCCTCGATCACGAGAACGTCACCCGTTCCCCGCACGTCGTGCTCGTTCCCCGCACGCCGTGCCCCCATTCCGCAAACGCCGGGCGCCCGTTCCCCGCACACCGGGGGCCCGTTCCCCGAACGCCGGGGGCCCGTTCCCCGCACGCCGTGCCCCCGGGGAAATTTCAGGCTGTAAAAGTTCATCTCCTAGTTTGGGGCGTGTTTAAATATGTTTCTGAGGGCTCACCTAAAGTTTCGTGCAAAACCGGCTTTTTTTTTATCGTGAAACGGACGTAAACGCCCTCCTGAGGCGTCCCGCCCCCCGGGCCAGCCCTCGGAATAATCCCTACCCCAAATCCRTATTTTTTTGTTGGAACCTTCGTTTTTTATGTCCCAAAGGGCTTGCGCAAAGTTTCGTCCAAAACCGACAACGTTTGGGCCTTCTACAAAAAAAACTGCTCAAAAAATCAATGTTTGTTCCTATCAGATTTCATTTTGTCCATAAGGTATATATAGGGGGGACCATGGGGTCTGGTTCCCCCCACGCCGTGCCTCGATCACGAGAACGTCGCCCGTTCCCCGCACGTCGTGTCCCCGCTCCCCGCACGCCGTGCACCCCAGGAAAATTTTGGGCTGTAAAAGTTCATCTCCTAGTTTGGGGCGTGTTTAAATATGTTTCCGAGGGCTCACCGAAAGTTTCGTGCAAAACCGGCTCTGTTTGATCGTGAAACGGACGTAAACGCCCTCCCGAGGCGTCCCGCCCCCGAGCCATCCCTCGGGATAATCCCGCCCCTAAATCCATATTTTTTTGTTGGAACCTTCGTTTTTTATATCCCAGAGGGCTCACACAAAGTTTCGTCCAAAACCGACCCTGTTTGCACCCTCTACGAAAAATTATGACTACTAAAAAAATCAATGTTTGTTCCTGTCACTTTTCTTTTTGTCCATAAGGTATATATATGGGGGGGGGACCATGGGGTTTGGTTCCCCCTACGCCGTGCCTCGATCACGGGAACGTCGCCCATTCCCCGCACGTCGGGCGCCCGTTCCCCGTACGTCGGGCCAGTTCCCCGCACGCCGGGCGCCCGTTCCCCACACGCCGTGCCTCTCGAAAAAATTTTGGGTTGTAAAAGTTCATCTCCTATTTCGGGAGGTGTTTAAATATGTTCCCGAGGGCTCACCCAAAGTTTCGTGCAAAACCGGCTCCGTTTGATCATGAAACGGACGTAAACGCCCTCCCGAGGTATCCCGCCCTCCGGGCCATCGCTCGGGATAATCCCGACCCCAAATCCGTATTTTTTTGTTGGAACCTTCGTTTTTTATGTCCTAGAGGGCTCACGCAAAGTTTCGTACAAAACCGACCCCGTTTGGGTCTTTTACGAAAAATTATGACTGCTCAAAAAATCAATATTTGTTCATATCAATTTCTTTTTTGTCCATAAGGTATATATAGGGGGGACCATGGGGTCTGGTTCCCCCCACGCCGTGCCTCGATCACGGGAACGTCGCTCGTTCCCTGCACATCGTGCCCGTTCCCCGCACGCCGGGCGCCCGTTCCCCGCACGCCGAGCCTGTTCCACGCACGTAGGGGGTCCGTTCCCCGCACGTCGGGCACCCGTTCCCCGTATGTCGGGCCTGTTCCCCGCACGCCGGGCCCCTGTTCCCCCCATGCCGAACCCGTTCCATGCACGTCGAGGGCCCGTTCCACGCTCACCGGGCCCGTTCGCCGCACGCCGGGCCCGTTACCCTCACGCCGGGCGCCCGTTCCTCGCACGCCGTGCCCTCGGGAAAATTTGTGTTAAACCCCATAATTCATAATGTAAAAAGTAATGAAAAACAATAAGTTATGAAGAACCAGAAGACTGATGAAGACATCAAGGCAGAAACGGCTAAGTCTGGAGTACAACCAGAGGACCGATGGACGATCTGGGATGCGATGGAAAGAGCATCCTCATTGATCCTCTGGTCATCAACACTTAGAGAATTCTCCAGCAAATCATCCAGAAGCATACGATGAAGATTTAAAGATAAGGATGATTCATCTCATAATGAATAACAGCTGGAGATGACATGTCGACAGCTAGACTTCAAGTTTATCTCTAATAGTAAAGGTTATCAATAGAGTAGATAAACGTTATCTGTTAATARAAGATTAGCTAAAAAGTCTCATTAGATAGTTATCTTCTTATTAGCTGATTAGTATAAATAGGTGATTAGGCCTATTGTAAAAAGAGTCGCTTAAGTTGATTTTACGTTTTTCATATTTATAAAGTGAAATCTTTGACGCTCAAGATTGTTCTTAATTGTTTATAATTCATTCTTGAGTGTTCATCACTTTGTTCATAA